TCTCGCGTGTTTTACCACACTCAGTTAATTTAACATAACATTGACGAGCAGTTTCCATGACAGTAGTCGAGTTATAAGACCGTTGAGCTATTTCAGCAAACAAGCTGTCTCCATGAGAGTTTTCATAGTTTTTGTATGTGTATCATTAATAGGAGCCAATTTCTCTTAGGGAGTTCTCTAGAAAGGTATCTCCCCCCTTAGGGTAATAGCAGTACTGTGCATTGTCATAATTCAGTTTAACAGTTAGGTCCCGAATTTCTAAGAAAAACTGTATAGAATTCCTTTTTCGTCCAAGCACTTAAACCAAACGTCCAAGCACTTAAACCACTTAAAGAACGTCCAAGCACTTAAACCACGGCTTAACATAACCATCACATGTCAAATATTATTTTAATGCAAAATATAAACATATTTCCATCAATAGTGTTTTTAATATTATGAACGATAAAAAATAATGTTATTAATTACTTAAATTATAACATTAATTATACCCCATCCTCTAACTATACACTTCCGGACGAAAAAAATGCAACGTCGTATTGACTCGACTGTATTGATATACAAATTTCGGGGAATGCATAGAGAAACAAGTCACGCAGATGATGTAAGATGCAAGTTGGTCATGTGATTATAGTGCGAGATAAAAGGAGAAAGGAAATGGAAAGGATGAATAAACAATCACTACTTTCTACTGCTTTTATGGATACCAGAATTTCGAGAAGTTTAACTTTCCACAAGACTCGGGCGAATGACGAGATCCCTGGACACCATAGGCAATTCCGGCAAAGAGATTAATGTGCCAAGATGTCAAATTGTAGGCTTATAAACGACTAGTTTGTCTTACCTTCGTATCGCTGCATAAACTCGCGTAGATGTATCCATTGCACACAGAATTTGGTTCAAGTCCATGGAGACGTATTACAAAATGCACAGATCTACGCATGCGAAGAGCGGGTGCAACCCCACTATCGACTACTATGGGGATTTTGAAGAATTTGCAGGAAGTTTTGGATGCTCTAGTGTCGTCAACGGATCACTTGGACATCTGAATGGCACAATGTGGAATTCAGCGATGAGTCTTGGTTTTGTTAGCCTGATGATAGTCACCAAGTAAGAATCTGGAGGCGTCGGGGAAGTAGAGCCAATTCGACCACAATTGCTAAATGCCACACCGCTTTTCAGTGTGGCATAATTGTTTGGGGTGCCATCAGTCATAATAGCACGTCATCCCTGTTACGCATCAGAGGCCCACTGATGGCACTATGATACGTTGATGTGGTGCTAAAGCCGGTTGTGTTACCTTAGCAACTGCGAAAGGAAAATTTTCTAGCAGGGCAACGCGACACGGCACGCGGCATTTGTTATTTGGCTAATTTGGAGGATATACCATTGCTTCCTTGGCCTGCAATATCGCTTTATCTTTCGCTGATCGAGCATATCTGGAGGGTGATTGGTCATCGTTTGTCTGCTCTGCACCAGATATTAAGGGAGGACGAACTGTGGAGAAGGTTTTAGCTGATAAGGCTTCCATGCCTGAGGACACTATCCGAACACTAATAGAATCTGTACCTTGTTAGAGTTGTAGCTTGCATCACCGCAAGAAGTGGTCATCCATCTTACTAACTCCATATGTATTTCAGCCCTGTATAAATTCCTCTTTCTATAAATAGCATCAATTATTTACATATGTATGCTGTATCTGTATATTAACAGGCATCATATTCTACCCAGTCTTTCACGATACTGCATTTTCTATATCGGGCGATGTATAAATAACTCTCATATGAAATAAAATTTTTGTTAGTATTGGTTTAAATTTTTCTTATTATTATTAGCCATAAAGTGCTTCTTTAGAAAACTAATTTTATTTAAATAAATTTACTTATTTCCTTATTCCTTTCTTAAACTTATTTTCATTTAAACTGATGAAACGATTTGTGAAATACCCATTTGGGAAGAAGCAGTAATTATTAATACACTTATCCCTTGGCATCTTCGCTAGGACTGCTTGAGAAAATGTAAACTAATGGTTTAAATAAACTACTTAAATTGGTGATGAATGCGGCCTATATTTTTATGGTACGGAAGGATATTTGATATTACTCAGAGTACACTCTGAGTGTACTCTGAGTTACACACATTAATGTCAATGTAAGAGCCTACGTTGACATTAATGTGTATAGAGTATAGAGTTGGTAGTAGAGTATAGAGTTGGTTGGTAGTAGTTGTAGAGTTCATTGTTCATCAGTTTTTAATTTCACTAATCTGTTCATTGTTCATTAAACTCATATTTAACCCATTCAGTTATTGAGGTATGTAGGTTCCATTCTGGTTGTTTTGCTAGGGGATGTCTCATTGCTCTATTGTATCGGGAGAAATTTGATAAATTTCCTTTCCTTATGAGTACCTTTATCTATTTTTTATCTTATTTTTGAGGTTGCCTTGTGCAATTAGATGACGTTTAAATGCTGAGTGATTGAAGACGGATGGCGTAGAAGAAGGCCTTGGATTAGTTAACAACTGAAGGCATAGTGATCGGCATCTCTCTGATCTCCTCATAAACATATATCTGTTGTTGTTATTCCTCTTTTTATGAAATATTCAGTGAATATTCAATGAATGACAGATTAGATGCGCCTAACTACGGGCCGAATCAGACAGTCTAGAACAGGGGTCAGCAAACTAAGGCCCACGGCTTGTTTTTGATCCAGCCCAAGGGATGATATTGTTTTTACATGAAAAATAAATCAAGTTACAGGCTATTTATGCAGCAGCCGATAGTTGAGTTGAAAATTTTGAATAATGACCGCGAGTGTCGCTACTACTGTAAGCTCTTGTTTATCGTTGCTTTTAAAGGAGTCCCAATAGATCAATGTTTGTGCAAACAGGTGAAAATCATAATTATTATGCGCGACGTGACTGTTGCGCAAGCGTGTCGACAGTTTTGCTATAGCAGTGGCGTGGTCTCTCAAGGTATTCTGCTATATATTGTCCTTTTTACTTTATTTTACACATTACCTACCTTTAGCATGTCACTCTTAAAATCAAATTAGGAGGAAAACTTAGACCTCGAATGTCGGGCTTTAAAAGCAGAATGAAGTGCCATTTATTTGACCATAGAACTAAATGACAAAAAAATGCAATGCCATAACAGCTGCGCCAAAAGAGTACAATACACGTCGCCACTACCAAACAATGCACGCGGCATGGTATTCAAACCAAACCAGAAAATGAACGATCATTAAAATTGGAAAATTTAAGACAGAATGCTTCATCACAGCCTAATTTATTCTTAAAAATGTAAAATCTGAATAAAGCAGCAACTAAAATCAGCTTATGAAGAGCTAGTTTATTAACCACGAAAGTAAAACCATTCAATGATGCTAAACCTATTAAGTTTGCTAGTGGCAGCCGAAGAAATGTGCACTAAAAAATAGATATATTTCAATCTCCTAGTCTTTCGGCGAGAATAGCTGTTGGAAAATTTAAGGACATCGAAAGTCACATCAGAAGTCTTTTATTCCCCCCCCCTTTTTTTTTTTTTTTTTTTTTTTTTTTTTTTTTTTTTTTGTAAGGGTTAGTAAAATGGGAATAAATGTCGTATGAAAGTATCAATTTATAATAAAAAAAAGTAAATACTTTTTCTTCTCCATCAAAAAATTACCCATTCATATCTTCGTGTTTACTACTTGACAGGATAAGCCTAAAAGTTTTACAATCTGGTAAATTATTTACAATCCGTTTCTAAACAATCCCTGGTCTAAACAGCATTTTCAGGGATTCTCAACTCCCATTTTTATAAAGGAAAAATATGTTTATGAAAAATGATACGATAAGATGGACCTCAGGTTTTAACTTAAGCCTTGGGCAATCATTTGAATCTTTAACAGGTGTGAGCAGTACTATGAAACGCACAACAATGGCGGTTGTGATGTTTAGACCAGAAAATGTAAACGCATCTTAAGAGAAAAACTTTATGTTGACACCCTAAGTATTGATAGTTTCGCTCAAAGCTGCATTTGCAGAAAGATGTAGCATGATGCTGATGAAAAAAAAGAAGACCGTTCCAGACATAATGTAATGCAGCTGGAATAAAACAAGGAAAGTCAGCCCTAATTTATGATAAATTTTAACTCTTACTATAAATCCTGTATTTCAGTTTTAAATGAAAACTTTTGTGTTTTAAGGACTAGAGAATTTTACTGTATGTTTGAGAACACTAACTTTGCGCAGTTTAAAAGTAAAAAATGCAAATGTTTAATGAAACAATAAGCATAAATAAGGAAAGCTTTTATCGTTATTTGATGTTCAGTTGGAGTTTAATACAAAATTAATTATCAAAGAGTTGCTGTTACTGAGGTAACGCATTAGAAGAATAGAGCTTATGTGGCAGGTATAGTAATTGTTCAGAAGAAGAGAGATGGCTGCTCAGGATAGATTTTTACAAGTTTCTTTCCAGGGGCTTCAAAAAGCAGAAGGATTCGTGTTTCTTTTAAAGTTGTTAATATTTAAAAGTATCGTATGTGAAAGATTTTTATTATTCTTACACGAGGTATTCTGTTCCTTTCTATTTTATTAAATAGACAGTGCCATCGTTATTTTTAGCTGTGTTATTGTTATTGTGCAATTGTTATAAAACCTAATTTTCAGTTCTAGAAATACTAGACCTTCATTTATGGGGCATTTATAAAATTAATCTTGGATACGGTTTTGAGTATAGAACAAATTCTTCATTTCAGTTTCTGTCGGAGGCATGAAAAAAACTTGTACCTTGTTTCACTTTTCTTTTTTTTTTTTTTTTTTTTTTTGACAAAGCACTACAACTTCCACTTCAAAGCTACACTGTAACAACAATGTTTTGACAAAATTGGACGAAGCTCCAATGAAATTCCTGTCAGCTATAAACTGTTTACTTATTTGTGCTAAATATTATATTGAGCTTTCTCAAGATTGATTGCTATTTACTATATGTATTCTTATGAGTATTTTTTTTCTTTTAGGGAAAGAAGAAGTGGTATTTCTGATCAAAGACTGGCAGAAATAGAAACTTTGCTGGCCATGGAAAATAGTCAGAGAGGACACAATAATGTTGCTTATGGACTTATCGATCCCTTGAGCTTGTAAGAAAAATTTATCTGCCATATTGGTCCGAAAAAATGAGCATTATTTAGTTTTATCAATAAAATATGTAACGAACTTTAGTATGCAAACTGTTGTGTAATTACCGGAAGAATAGTTTGAAGAGATTGAGAAAGAAGACGATCAAGCAGATATTAAATAATGGTTTTATTTTTATGTTTCCTTCCAATCTCTAACTTTTTAAATACCAAAATGTGCGCATAGTATAATTGATTACAAATTTCATAAATGAAAGATTTTGCTGGAATCATTAACTAAATGAAATAGCGTATTCTTTTTTGTTACTTTTCCTAAATCTTAGTTATTAAATTTATGTGTAAAAATATACTGTACGAACTCCAAAAAATATCAATTATTAATCAAACTGTAAGCTATATACCGAATCTTGAAGTAGTACGTAAACACTCAAGTATTATAAATTTTGTATTTCTGAAATTTAAAAAATTTTTTGAAACAAAATTGATGTAATAACTGGAGAATAAAATTGTATGTTTTATAATTTAAGTTTAAAAAATACTTTAGTCAATTAATGGGAATTTTTTCACTTTAAATTTTAAGAAACTGAATAGGAGACAGAACAATGACACTGTCTATTGAATAAATTAGAAAGGAAGAGAATACTTTGTGTAAGAAAAATAAAAATGTTTCACATACGATACTCTTAAAGTTCGCCCAAATGTGACGCTGCCCAATGGGGATAGTGGTTAGTGACTCCGAAGGACCCGGGTTCATATTCCGGAGAAAGATGGTTATTTGTAAAAGTATAGCAGTGTGTGCGCGGCATAAGGGCACTAAAAATATGCGGTGATGCGATAGTCCTCTCCATGGTTGTCAAGTGTGTGGTGCCCACGGCTCGACAGGCGCAATCTTACCTCTTTGACACGATGAATTTCGTGGGCCTCCTGTGATATCCGATAAGCGAAATTAGTCACAACGGCAACAAATGTAGCATTTTATAATTTTGTAATTAGGAAGAAAAATTTTAAAAACATGCTTCTGAATTCTGTCTGTATTACATTATTCCATATAAATAATAAAGCTGATTTATTAATATTATACAAAATTCTACAATCTGTTTTCTTATTTTTAAAAGCCTGTTGCTATTTATATAAATTTAAAATGCAGCAATAAGAAGTTTTGATACAATTTTTATACAAAGCGCTTAAGTTTTATTCTTTGACTGCAGACTTAGTATAATTTTTATCTGCCATTGTACGTGAGAAAAGGAGAAATTGATATACATTTTCTTTGATAAACTTGCTCATTCCTTAAATATTTATTTAACTTACTTTATTTCGTAATTTCTTGAGCTTAAATTGCTTCGTAATTATGCTTAGTTTCTTCTCAAGTTACTATAAAGAAACTTCTTCAGTTGGTAAATTAATTTTCCTTGAAGCTTTCATCTTGAATCAAATTTAAATGGCTTTTATTTCTGTCTAAAAAATTGCTTATGAATCTGTTGCTTTTCTCTTAGCCGCGCGCAATGCCGTCAAAAGTGGATTTTTTTCATTTTAGAAATACACAACGGCTTCCTTGATTAAAGAAACGAAACAAGTCATTTTTTAATAGTTCAAACACTCTCAGAAAATATAACAAACCTAATTTTCACTCATTTAATTTAAATTTACAAAAAGGAAACAAATGTTTTCCTGTGAAATTACTCCATAATTATGCCGTAAAAAAAATTTCATTCGAAATCAGCATGGGTTATCAGAAATTCGCTCGGAGAATATCGAGAAGAAATGGTTGCATTGCGATTGATGGCGACCGAAACAGTATTTGGAAGTTTGGTCACTTTAGATCGACTAAAGGTAAAGTACTAAATGTTTTGTCATGATTTTTGTTCCTTCTCATTTCACAAATGTCAATGTATTATAGTTTCTTTTCTCTTTTTAATATTTGAAAGCGATTCCGATTAAATAACTAAAATAATTTCTTCTGTGAAGAAATTTTATTTTTCGGTTTAAATTTTAATGAAGAAATAAAATTTTAGTTTCGAATTACAACATTAATTTTTCAAAACATCATATCAAGAATAGAGAATTCAAGGAAAAATGTACAACTACATAATCATTTAGTAAGATAGACATAGGTATAGGCGGAAGTGGACGGGATACCAAACGTTCATCATTGGTCTTGCAGGTATCTATCCTCCGCACTAACTGTGCTATTCCGATCCAATTTTGAGGGAGAACATCGCGCGAGGTACAATCCAAGGGTCCCCATCCTTAACATCAATCTCTCGAGAAGACTGTCATATTTTGATTGCGCTCTTGCTGCACAGACATTATTAGCTTACAAACATTCATATCTTCTGTGGTATACGAAACCAATACGGTACGACAGTCAGCATCACTAACCACTATACTGGCTTAGACATGCAGTTCCTTAAAGTTGCACATAGCCATGCTTCATAGATGCATGGTTTGATTTTCCAATTTAAGAAAGGCCCACCAGCGGCTGAGAGGTAAGGTTGAGTACTGATAATTCGACCTGGATCTGATTCTAGGAGAACGGGAATGGCTACATGGGAGTTTTCGTGGTTTCCACCTGTGTATTGTGGATATGAGCCAATTGCCTTTAGAATGTCCTCCATGAAGGCATCCCTGCCCTCAAGCTGATAGATCTAGCATGCTTTCCTTTAATCAAACAAACTTAAAAAACTAGACTAGTTACGAAATAAATCAGTTAAAGTAAGTTTTCAGAGTACGACATTATGATCATGTAGCAATTTTTAGTTAAAATTCGCAAAAATACATTTTTGCATGTGCTCCGAAAAAGAAAAATTAAAAGAATATTTTCCATAGTAGATTTAGTTTAAACGAAGCCAAAATGCGTGTATTTTCAGTTCTTTGTACCGCTCTCCAATCCATTTAAACGATATTTTTTCTTGACATTTGTACGTACGGAAAGAATGAAGGACTGGGCTTTTCAAAACGGATTGTAAAATGGATTCAGAAGAGATTTTTTGTAACGTCTGTACGTATGTGTATATTTCGCATAACTCAAAAATTATTATCCTCAGGACGTTGAAATTTGGAAATGGGACTGCTGTAACATGTAGTTGTGAATCTCTCTTTTTAATTGCAATCGGCCGCACCAAACTTATATACAGGGTGTACCGTAAATGTTGCGACAAACTTCTAGTGAAGGTAGGGCACATCATAAGGATTAAGAATTGCATGGGAACCTATACACGGAAATATCAGGGATAAGTGGTAGCAGAGGTAGAAGATGGGAAAGGAAATGAGATAGTGATTAATTTTAAACATTTATTGGACATGAATACAAATGGTGTTTCGACAGCTTGAATGTTACAGTAGATGCTCGAAGTTTGCACCCTCAGACGCCAAACGACACTGACGGACCATTAATTGCCGAACATGTTCAAACACACCGGGAGTTTCTTTGATTGTACCAGGCGAGTCTTGCCATTTCAGGCACAACAGGATCTATTTCAGGCACAACAAGATCGTGATATACACTTTTGATGGCTCCCGATAAAATAATTCAAGGCTCGATAAATCCCGTGAGCGAGGGGGGGGCAGGAAACCGGTCCACCCCGCCCAATCTATCGATGCGGGAATGATCTGGTCAGATGGTTACAAACATCCAGTCCAAAATGAGCAGGCGCCCCATCATATTAGAATAACATGTTGCGCCTCACATTTGGTGGAACATCGTCAAGCAAGCCGGGAAGAGCTTAGAAAAAATAGAAAGATCAGATAATTCGCGGCATTCAACCTGGGTGGTAAAAGGTACGGCCCGACTAAGCAGTCGCAGACCAAACTCACCCACACAATTGACTTTGAAGCTTGTTGTGCCGCGTGGTGCCGCACACCGTGGGGGGGGGGGTTCTTAAGCCCACAAATGCTGATTGTGGTGATTGAACACGCCATCCCTAGGGAATGTAGCCTCCTCCCTGAACAACACATAAGCTGAGAAATTAACATCCGCTCGCCTTCTTGTAGAAACCACTGTGCGAAACGCACACGTTCAAACGCACACTGTGCGAAACACACACAGTAATCGGGAATAAGTAACTGAGTGATTTGGAGATGAAACCCGTGGAAGTACTCGGCGTTCAAGACGCTGGACACTGGTATGAGATATTCTTAATTGAGAGCCAATAGCACGTATGCTGGTCCTTGGATTACAACCCGGATCCAAAACACTTTCTTCCCTATCAACCGAGCGAGTTCACCGTGGCCTGCCCTCACTTGTCCTGCCACTTCTTAATGACTCGTAGTCACACAAATTTTGATGCAGACGTGCGAACAACTGTGGTGGGGTTGATGTCTGTCGGGGAAGCGTTCTCAATAAATGCGTGCAGCGGCTCGTCCATTATTCTCAGCTGTTCCATACACTAAGTGCACGTCTGCAAGCTCTCCGTTCGTATAGCGTTCCATGCTCTTCGTATGGTGCCTACCGCCCGAATGAGACATTCCTCACTTTCCACCAGCTCTCTCCTGTAGAGCACCTCCTGGCGGCGTACCGTGACGTTTCTGAGCATGGGTTCCTATGCATTTCTTAATCCTTGTGATGTGCCTTACCTCCCTTAGAAGTTCGTCGCAAAATTTACGGTACACCCTGTATATATAACCCCTTTGTTACCTGGCTTGATAAGCTCACTTTTTTTAATTCTTATACGCTGTTAAATTGTGCATTTGTTTGCTTTAAAAGTGATTGAATTATTCTGTTCTTAAGTTCCAGTTAAGATTTTTATGCCTTTAGTTAATCTGCATACGATAACTTTAGAATTATCAACAATTTAAGTTGTTTAAGTTTTACAAAGCCTAAAAAGGCGACCATTTGTTAACATTTGAAACTCTTAGTAGTATAGTCAATTAAGTCATCTGTGCACCAACTCCAGTGTTTTTTCCTCGAGTCGGACCAAAAGTAAACTTTCTGTTTCGTCCACCGAAAAATCTGTCTTCCTCCCCGCTTACCGAATTGCTTGTTTTTGCGCAGAAACTCTAATTTTAATCTTTAAAATGTTTTTTTAACTGTTTTTAATTGTATTTTACGTTTTATGTGTATCTGTATTTTACAATTTTTAATGAAGATTTTTTGAGGTTTTTACCTTGCCGCGAAGTAAGAATTGAATTAATTGAAAAAGAAATATATCTCTAATGAAATTCTATTAAATAAGTATAAATGAAATGCAACATTTGTGTATAATTTAATAGGCTCTACAAGGAAGTCATATGGTGTCCACACCAGATTTTTCATAAAGGTTATGGCATGACCAGAATATGAAAGCTTACTTGATTCATTCCTTAAACTGGATCCATAGCTGTAAGATAAATCGCTTAAGAGGTACTTAATCGCGCAGTCTTTCTGAAACACGCAGTTTAGCTCCGAACTGTGAGCGAAGGCTTTTCCGCAACAGAATTGAACTTTTCTGAGTATTAGCATTTCTTCTGTAGCGCAAACATTCTCCATTCTGATTTCTTTTAAATTCTCTCTTAGAGGCAAGAGGAAACGTAGCCACGACAAGGGCCTTTTTCCCATGCAATTGGAAGAAGATTTCCCAGATGATAATCTTCGTGAATCGAGATTGAAGCCGCCATACTTCAGAGGCGAATCTTTGATGTATCCTCGACGTCTTCCAGAAAGGATATACAACAGGTTTAAAGTCAATGACTTGGAAAACAGAGATTTGCAGGCTGATGACATTTCAACTAAGTAAGTAATTTCATTTCAGGAAATAATAATTGTTAGATTACAGTAAAGAAAAATCTGGCGTCTAGAATAGATGCCATTTTCAATCTAGACGTTTTGCTTACACACTTCTATTTGCACTGAGATATTTTATTTTTAATAAGTTACAAGAAAAGAATGAATTTCACAAATTTTAAGAAGTATAAATTGTGCTGCTTTCCCCTATGTATTGCTTTTGTAAATGCAATTGTTAGTGTTTTAATGCACACTTATCAATAAGAATAATCGTCACAATTTACCTTTTTCTTGCCCACTAGCAAAAAAGCTTGTATTAGCAACTGCTATTTGAAATAGACATATATATACGTATATATGTTGTATGATCTTAAATTCACTTAGTGCGAAATCGAGTTATTCTACTACTTGCGCAGACTATAACTAACTATAGATTCACTCGTTTTTAGATAATTCTACTAAAATTAATCTTAGGAGATAATATAATCAATATTTCTTTAGTAAATAAATTATATATAAATATAATATATTTAAATATATATATATATATGGCTTTGGAAATGGTAACAATGAAGATTGTATTTTAAGAGCCGCTGCCGCAGATTGATCATGAAATATGTAGGAGACTCATTTAAATTGTAAGCTTGATTGAATAGTTGATTTGTCACTTTTCGTGCTTAGAAAAATCGAACAGAATTTACATCTTGTTACGTTGTATCAATTAATATTTTTATTTTTGCACCTATTATACGCATGATGTTTAGATATAAACAAATATTTATCAGTTAAATTTTATTTATTAAATACAATATTTTCTCCACCTAATCAACTTCTACTTCGATACATTTTCCAGACGCAAGGATTTTCTTAACTACAGAAGAATAAACTTTTTTTGACATTGCATTTCCATTCAGTCTATAAGGTGTTTCTCCCGCCTTCTTAGCAGGCCTTCGTAGTGTAGTGGTCTGCACCCTGGACGCGTATTCCAGAGGTCCGTGGTTCGATTCCCGGCGAGGGCGTTTGCTCATTTTTCGAGACTCCTGCTTCCAAATAACCTAATGTCTCTACAGTGGCGCCCGAACTAAAAGGGTTGTGGATGATGATTCTCCACACCCAGGATTTGACGATTGGGTCCCCTAAAAATTCTAGTCGCCTTTTAAAAGGGGGAGTATATAAGGTATTTCTCCAGCCTTCTTAGCATGCCTTCGTAGTGTAGTGGTCTGCACGGTGAGTGCGTATTCCAGAGGTCCAATTCAATTCCCAACGAAGGCGTTGTTCATTTTTCAAGTCTCCTGCTTCCAAATAACCTAATGTCTCTACAAATCTTCCAGAGTAATCAATAATATGCTCATTAAAATTGTCTTACTTGGCCAGTTCATTCACACTGCCCTCTAAAAGTTAAGGAACTGCATGTTTTTGAAGGCTCACCATTACAAAAAATGTCAGTAACATTTAAATTCACAGATGATATGTATGATAGTAACGACGTTTAAGAAAATATATGCCAAAACAATAGACTTTTATTTCATAGAAAGGATTACTTACATAGGAGTTGGAGGAAAAAAAAGGCAAAAATTGTAAATTTCGTTTACGAGTGTTAATCTTCAATCGTTATTAGCAATTTCGTTAACAATATCCAGGATAGTTTATCAGTGTCCAGGAGAAGTCGTTTGCCCGATTCGTTAAAGTGGCGGGCGATCGAATGGATGGAAATAGGGATGCCACAAGGTGCTGCTGCTAGTGTCTCTCCGACTATGAGTCAGATTGAATCCGAGGATTCTGTGTCTGGAAGGCATGTTCTAAGCTGAAAAAGAGTTACAACACGTGTGGGAGAACGTTAGACCGTATTTTAGCTCTTTCGCTAGAAGAAGAAGCGACATTACTGTACCTCAGTTCATGGCAGATCATTTAGTGGCAACAGGAACAAGAATCTCAGCTACTACAGTACGCGGACGCCTGCACAATACAGGTCTGTTTGCAAGACGACCAGTTGTTTGTGTCCCCTTGACCCAAGGATACATAGGTGCCCGTTTATGTTGGGCAAGAGAACACTTCTCCTGCACCAGTCAAAAATGGGCTTATGTTCTCTTCACAGACGAGTCCAAGTTCACATTGAAGTGTGATTCGGGCTGTCAGCTTATATGGATGGAACAACGCACCAGATATAATCAGTCCAAGATTGTGGAAAGACATAGTTGCATAGGTGATGGAATAATGGTTTGGGCTGGGATCTCTATCGGTGGTCACACTTACATGTGTTCCATGGAGGAACTTAGACCGGTGTGAGATATCGAGACAAGATCCTTAATCAATATGTCCGCCCACATACCGCTGTTTTTTGTCCTGTATTTCTTCTGATAGACGAAAATGCGCAGCTAGAGTTGGACACATTCCTTATTAGAACACATTTTTTTACGTTACCATCCCATTTTCTCCCTCAAAAAGCTGTGATACACTCTTTCTCCAAAACTAGGTTTCTCTGCCAAGAGTGAAATTTTTTGTTGTAATTCAAGTTTGTGTTGAACTTTAGAAATATTCTATGCCGTATTCATTAAAGAACTGTTTATTGAATATGTCCTCTAAAGTCTTGGTTTCTTTGTCGCTTCATTCCCAAATTAGACACAAAAATATGCTGTTCCTTAACTTTTGGAGAGCAGTGTATATTCGTTTTGACTCTGAAAAGAATTATTTTTCCAATGTTTCTTCACAGATTGTTAAAACCATAGAAATCTTGTCCCCATTCTTTTCATAGCGCTGCATGAGTTGCGCGGTTGGAACGAATCTTTCATCTTTGTTTCAGACCTCACTTTAAAATTCCTTCTCCCGCACCACTTGCCTATGCGGTGTAAATTGGAAGCACGTTCAGAAATAGATAGGTCCAGAGTTCGAATCATGGCTGGCTCATGGCTAATTTTGAACAATTCTCATCTTGAAATAAATTTAATAGCTTTGCTTGAATTATAGTCATCTTTAATTAATATGTACAAAGTACCAACATTTATTTTAGTTCCTTAGCGATTTCTCGGATAGCGATTCTCGGAACGACTTGAATTAGTGCATCAACAGCAATTCGTTGTCTTCATCAGCTATGGCTCCCGGCCAACGAGTATGTGGTTCATTTTCAGCACTTACGCGACCTAGACTTGTACACTAAATCAAATCATACATTCTAGAGCATGGTTCCTCAGTCAGACACTCCAGTTCATGGGTTCTCAAATCTTCTACATATTGTGCCATATAAATACGAATAGAAATATATATGCCAGCCTACCATCCTATACCAATAAATGTACCCAAGATGGCGCCATTTTTCATTCATTCTGAACATTCATTTAAACCTTTTTTTAAGAGTTGTGCCACCAAAAATAATGTAATATATCATTAGTGTCACATTTATAGCAGTTTGAAAATCCTTATTTTAGAGAGACGTTCATTTCTAAGATGTTTTTTAGGATCTGGGATCTTCGTTACTAAAACTTGAATGATGATTCACTGCACAACACTTTGGGGTGCCTCCTGCACCGACAATTAATAAAACTATCGGAGGTGAGAAAAAATGAAACTAGCACAACTACCGTATTTTCCCTAAAAAAGACCAGATTTTACATCTTCAAGTTTGCTTCAAAAGATGGATTAGGGATAATTTTCATGGTCTATCTTATTTGTTAATGCAAACCAATTAATATTTATCCATTTACTCATGTATTCAAGAATCTACACATATTCAATTACTCATTCATAAAAATTTACATTTATACAAGAACAATCATGTCGTTCTCTCTTGCAACATCGTCATAAATCTTCAAACCTCAGAAGAGTTTCTTGCGATTCTATTCCCTGTAGAACTACTGGCTCTAACTTATCATGTTTATCAACATAATTCTCCTTAAGTGAGCATTTGGTGTTCCTGTAGCTAACTCGCAATTCACTTACCAGAGATTTTTTGCCATGAACTCTTCAGCTAAGTCACGAGCTCTTACAGATTTTCATATTATCATCGCCAGTTTCGGAGATTTAACTTAATCTACAAATTTCTTAAATCTACAAATTTCTTACGCAAGAGTCCTGCATAAAGCCGCCCAGACGGTATAGTGGTTAGGGGAGCCTAAGAGCCTGGGTTTGAATCCCGGAGAAGGCATGGTTGTAACTGTCCGTCCCTTCATAGGAGGCAATGGTGGCCCACCTATTAGGTGCGTCTATAATAAAGAGACCAACACGTCTGGCTTTAGTATAGATTAATGTACTGTGTTACACTGTAACTGTTCACAATCTGCCATTGGGGGAAAAAAAGAGTCCTGCACAGTTCTTTTCTTGTGCTTTAGGGTATAGCTCTTCCTTACATTCATCTTGTTTAGGAATCAAAATATTATTCTTTTCAAATCTATTATTTTAAATCAAGTGTTAATCTAAGACTTGCAAAACAAAGTTTGTTGTACAAAGTAAAGAAGCAAAGTTGTTGTAGCAAAAATGTTAAGAAGCTGGCTACACAAAGCGACGAAAACTTAATTAAAATCCAAAACATGTTTCTTTATTTCACACGAGCATATTAAGTATGTTCTTTATAATACACAACCGATTAAATTACGAAGATTCTAATAACCACAACCGCCTCCATTTAGTATGAAGTGCATGCATGTGTTAAGTCTGTATTCCAACTGCTAATTCGGCATTAAGTCTCTCTGGCGATATTATCTAGGGCTTAAATTATTCTGAAATATCCTGCTGAGGCTTATTTTTCGATTAGGTCTTAGTTTTTGAAGAATACACTGGTGTGCAAAAATTAAGGACGAAGTCGAAAAATTAGCATATCAGCTGAACGAAGAGGCAGAACGGACAGAAAGACCAATCAGGAGATTAAGTAAGATGATGTACGGTAGCACATGCGAATATGCAGGTAGACGTAATGGGGGAGTGTCTGAGTAGTATAAAGCATGTTGTCGGTGTAAGATCAGTATTTCTGGCAAAGAGATTGCACGCCGTATAGCAGTTAAAATCACACCGAGTTGCTGCCTCAGCGAGAAATGGCGAATAATCAATCTGTTAGACGACATCTGGATGCTTTTACCCGAGGTCGAATCATTGGGAAGTTGGAGGAAGGCCGCAGTGAGACAAGTGTGGCTGCAGAGTTCGGAATTGCCCACAGCATCGTTTCACGACTTTGGAGACAATTTCAAACTACAGGAACAGCTATCCGGGGGTTTGGTAGTGGTCGTACACGAGGAACCACACCCGCAGATGACCGGTATATTGCCTTACAGGCCAGAAGAAACAGGCGGCAGGTGGTCTGTTTGCACGACGCCCTGTACGGTGTGTACCTCTAACGCCTGAACATCGGAGAAGGCGTTCTCTGTGGTGCCGGGAACACCGGAATTGGAGAGACAATGAATGGAGACGAGTACTCTTTACAAATGAGAGCAGATTCAGTCTGAGTAGCGATTCTCATCGCATACTCATCTGCAGAGAGCGGGGAAGACGCAATCATCCCTCGAACATCATTGAAAGGGACAGGTATGGAGGTGGCGGTGTTCTCGTTTGGGGAGGCATCATGATTGGTAGTCGTATAAAACCTTCACATGTTCGACGCAGGTTCAGCCAACGGGACCCGTTACTGTAACGAGATTCTTCTTCCATATGTGCGTCTTTTTAGAGGCGCTATGGGTCCTCAGTTCCTTTTCATGGACTACAATGCACCATGTCATCGCACAGTAGCTGCCGAACAGCTCTTAGAGAGTGAGGATATTGAACGTATGAATTGGCCGGCCCGATATCCGGATCTCAATCCCATCGAGCATGTATGGGATCTTCTAGGCAGACGCTTGGCAGCTCGTACCTTACCACCAGTAACGATTCCGGAGCTTCGATTGGCGCTGCAAGATGAAAGGGCAGCAATACCTCAACAACTCATTGACACCCTCATTCTCAGCATGGGCAGACGCTGTGAAACCTGCCTAGCAGACCGGATGTTTCTTGCTGGTCACCCATCACAGGGATGTTCTGGCCTTCAGTCGCATTGCGATCCATGCTACGTTTTCAATAAAGCTTCTTTTTATCCCTCTGATTTCTCTTTTAGTAAGTGTTGCTTACATTACTCATGTCCTGACGTATTGGGGATCTTACGGTATTAAATGTGTTGATTTGGAAAGCTTTTGTACAAAGTTATATTGAAAAAACCGTCTCGTCCTTAATTTTTGCACACCAGTGTACAGTACTCATAGTTTCAAACATGTGTTTATTTATTGAGTAATGATTATGTTAAAAAAATTCATTTTATATTTGAGCGTTTATACCGAGTATGATACATTTGAAAGCTATGATAAGAAATGCAAATATGTGTTTTTTGTTCTGGGGTAGTATTATATACCCGTGTCTCACTTTTCAAGATACTGCATTACTTAAAGCTCCTATCACGAATATTTTGATTTCAACAGAGATTTATAAATAATATGAATGTAAATACCGTTGTAATATCTAAAGCTAATATACTTTTTTTTTCTTTTTTTATACAGATAAGAAAAAAGCTTTGGCAAGGTCTACAGAATCAGTTTTTCGCAGTTTACAAGTGTTACTTCTATGTTTTAAAAAACTCTATTCTATTTATAAAGAACCACTATATTTATTATATTCCGTTTTCAAGGAACTTGCATTCTTTTTCCTACAATTGTCGAAAGCATTGTGATATACTTCAATGTATGTATTTATCACCGAAACAGCTCAGAAAATGTCAGCGCAACTTGTGTGTTATTTTATGTTTCTTTGTGCCTGTATTAGAATAAAAACTTTATTTCAACTGTATAATGCAAATGCCTAAAACATTTTATGACTATACATGAAACTTTTGACATCATAAATACAAATTAACATTCTACATTCAAAAGCAAAAGTTATAAATTTCCTGTTGCCTATTAGACAGTGTAGTCAACTCTTGATTAACCAATTTGCATATTAATCGAATTTCGTCTAATAAACGTTACATTTGTTTATTACAGAAATATTAAGTATTACTTTCATGAGTTATTAGTGTGAAACAAAACAGTCTATGGAAGTGGCTTTTACATGCTGAACGAATGCGCATTTAAAAGCGGGAGACGGGATTGAATTTATTTTTTTAACAAAATGAAACATTTTCCTGGCAGAATAAAAAAAATTAATAGAGTTTCAAATTTCCCTTACGAAATATATTTAAAAAATACATAAACAAAATTAATTATAATAACGCAAAGGAAAAATTTTAATTTATACATATTTTCTCTCTGAAATCTAAAGATTAGCAACTTTAAGAAATTTCGGTTGGCATTTTGTTAATTCCTTCAAAATTTATGTGCAATTCCAAACATAGGTATTGATATATATATGGTAGATATAAGAAGAAGTACAACACATAAAGCGTTAAAAATACTCGCCTTTGGGCTTAATATAAAATCTGAAATCTTTCAGATTTTATATTACTCCAAAAGGCGAGCTTTTTTTAACGTTTTATGTGTTACTTTTATTTATTATATATCATATTTTTCGCACTTAAACCACATAAAATTCAATTCAACAGCAATATTACAAAATCTTTAAAACAACATACCTTTCGAATTTCGAATAGATAGTCTCGCATGGTAGAGATAAAAGTGTTATTTTCAATGCAGTGTTGCCATTATTCGCTTTGAAATTGCTGAGTTTGTTAATCAAAAATTCACTAAAGTTTTACAAAATATGAAATGGATAATAAAACAAATTCGAAACTCGGGCGTCCATATGCCCATGTTCGGATGGAGGATTACCTTATTCAAAATTTGATGGCTTTATGTACCGTCATTTTCTCACAGAGCGAAAAACATACATACATCCGTGCAGATTTTTCATTATTTAATTACTTTAAATATAATACAGAGCGATAATATTTGGTGGCAACAATTTGAAAATTGAAACGGATATTTGTTGTGAAACAACACAAAATGCCGTTTTGAGACCAAGTGCCTTTTCAGCTACCGCCTCTTTGGGCTAACAAAAGCCGTTCTTTAGTTTGGCTCTAACTGTAGAGCAATATGAACTACGCAGCTGTGCAAACAGCCAATGAATTAGCTACTGTCTCAAGAAAATTGTACATGTGAATTACCAACTCTATAGGGAAAACTGGAAACACTAGAATACACTTCTGCTAACTCACTTTTTTTGTCTTGTGTAGACATTAGGTATTTTTTGGAAGCAGGTAAGATGAAAAATGAACAATCGCCTTCGCCGGGCATCGAACCACGGGCCTCTGGAACACCGATCCAGCGTGCAGAACCACTACACCACGAAGGCAGGCTAGGAAGGCGGGAAAAATACCTTATAGTCTTTTTAGCTTTATTAAGCATCGATTTCTTTGCCTCTGTACCACATAAATTTCAAGAGAAAACTTACAAAATATTTAAAAACAGCATGCCTTTAGAATTATCTACAAAGTATTGAGGATTGCCACACATTCATAGTCGTTGTACTGTTTCTATGAAAATTAACCGCTCGAGCGGCCAGCCGCCGGAAAGTGTTATCATAAAAAAAGAAAAAGTATATAATGATTTTAATGAGTCCAGCTACTGTCATTTTAGAAAAATGTTTAATTTTCCTAATTAGACATCTCATGATTTAAATGCATTTTTATTTAGATCAATGAGACTAAAAAATAGAAAAAATATTTTTAAGAACAGTGTTTATTGCTTTTCAGTCACTTAGTTTGTTATTCAAGAACAGAAAGACTAAATTTGAAAGTTAAGTATCTTACGCTCTATTGAATAAAATAGCAACACACTAATACGTAGAGGTATAATAAATAATCTATTTGAGGCAGCGGGCAATACATTGCTTTTGAATAACCGAATTTTGGAATTAGACTGGCGGCCGATGGAGATAAAAATGTTTTATTTCGAACACTTCTCACTTTTAAATCGCTGAGTTTGTTAAACAAAAATTCGTTAAATTTATACAAAATATGAAATAAATCAAAAACAACTTCGGAATCGAAATTCGGGCTTCGGGGTACTCAGCATGTTCGAGTTGAGAACTACGTCAATTAAAATTTCTGTGGCTTAAGGTGGCGTCGTTTTTTCGCATACATTTAAATTCTTCATTATTTAATTTATTTTTTCAAAATAACACATAACATTTAGTGGCAACAACTTGGACACAAAAGACACAAAAGTGATAAGGACGAAAAGCGAATTTCCAGACTAATAGCACTTCTGTTATTAAGAAGGAAAATGCATTGTACAGCAATAGGGCCATAGGGTTGGCCAATATCGTTTTGGAGGTTATCCATAGCCACAAAAATACTTAATCTGAAATATAAAGGACTACATTCCTTAAAAATAAAAAATAAAATAGTATAAATATAAAACATTCTGCCGAACATTTTTACGCAAATTCAAACTTAATGACATTGTTCAAGCTATCTTTTAAATACTGTTTTTATGCTTATTAATGCTTAATTTCTTCATTACAAATTATGTTTTTACTACCGTTATTTACATCGTACTGTTTTTATTTTGAATGTTGACCTAATGGGCGCAATAAAATGGAATTTCTCTTTTCTTCGTTAAACTTCTGAATCCTTAATAGTTTTTTCCCCTACGATACGATTAGCGACTACAAAATTAATTATTCCAGATTTGGTGTTCTCCTCCCTAAAGTCATCTGTTCTCCGAAATTCGAGATCTTTCCGAGTTACATAACGCTGCTTGAAAAAGGTAACTAAAACAAAAATTAACCAATCACAGCTTCGAGTATTTTCTGCATCTACTAGGTATAAATTTCTCCCACAAGTAACTACGTCATTCCTTTCATAGCTGGCCCACCAGCAGCCGAGCGGTAAAGTCGCTGAACACTGGTAGTTCGGTCCGAGGTTCGAATCCCGCAAACGGGCTGGCTGCATGGGTGTTTTCGGGGTTTTCCCCATATGTAACGTGTATACGAGCCAGTTTCCCTTAGAAAGTCCTCCACGAAGGCATCCCTCCCCTTAGGCAGATAGCCCTAGTGTGCTTTGCCATAATTAAATTAAATACACCTTTCCTAGCTTCCGCTACTGCCGAAAATCTCCCCGCTGGTCTGCTTGATGTCGCCCCCTTTTACCTACATATAGATGAGAAATTATTGAAATTCTTTATAATTAAAAAGTATATCTGAGGACGGTAGAGAGGGCCGTAACCTCAGAAAGAAAATGAGAAAATGTATACATGAGTTATACGACGAATGGCTTTGTGGCGGAAATTGGTGGTATAAGATTGATATAAGAATCAAATAATAAGAATGGAAAAAAATCAAAAAGTATATTGTCTACAATGAATGATTCTAATGTGCCTAGAAATAAAGTTGGTAATTAGCTGAACCTGAATTGTATCAACATCTCCTTCCTGCCTTTTTTCCCTCAGCCATCACAACTACGCATTAAAAATACTATATATATATACAGTGGTGACCAAAATTGTGGACACTTTTGGAAATTTTTATGTTTTTGAACTTTGTATGCTTATAGAAAACGTTACGTTTCACAAAATGCAAACTTGTATATATCATTTTAAAGAGAATTTATTACTGAATTGAATACAAAACACAAAATTCAATTATTTGTAATACTAAAAAAGTTAAACGATAATAGTTATCGATATACATTAGATAGTGATGATTGCAGTGAGGTATCAGTACTTAGTAGAGTACCCTTTATTTTTTATTACAGCTTCACATCGACGTTTCATTGAGCTGACAAGAGTTTTAAGCTCTTCTTTCGTTATTACATGATGCCAGGAAACAATTATAGCCTCAATTAGTTCCCCTTTTATTTGATGGGCGCCTCATTCGGACAAGAGTTTTCAAACGGTGCCACAAAGTTTCGATAGGATTGAGGTCAGGACTGTTTCCTGGTCATGACAACAATTTAATGCTCTTTGTTGTAAAAGAGATCTCTGATAGAAGGTAGAAGTTTTGGTTCTAGAATAGTGTCAATGTATTTTCTGGCATTCAGTATCCCATCGATGACATGAAGGCGACCAATACCATGTGCTGACATGCATGACCAAATCATAACACTAACTGGGTTCTTCACAGTTGCTTGAATGCAGTCAGGATGTAGCTCTTCTCCTATTCTACGTCTTACATATTTTCGCCCATCAATACCGAATAACGATATCTTAGTTTCATCACTCCATATAACTTGTGACCACTGATCATCTGTCCAATTAATGTGTTCCTTTGCCCACTGTAGTCTTTTTTTCGTTGCTGAAAATTAAGATAAGGCTTTTTTTCGTGGAATTCTACCTTTCAGTCCAACATCTGTTAATCTTCTCCTGATTGTTCTTGAACTGACAGAAACACCAGCATCATTCAGATCACTTCTGATGGCCGCTGATGACATTTTCTATCTTGGAGACATAGTCTTTTTATTCTTCTGTCATCAATAGATGTGGTGCACCTTTTTCGGCTTTTTCCTTCTTTGTTTTTTATTGAATTGTGTCTCCTCCTGATATCGTAAACAAAACTTTCGGACTCCAGATGTAGTCACTGAACCACCCACCTGTGTTGCAATTTCACACATAGGAAAGACCACTTTCTCGTAACACAATAATAATACATCTCTTTCTAGGTGTCCAATCTACTCTCTCTTTTATTTGATGTCATTGCTTCTTGACTAAATATTAAAAATTTTTACAAAAATTCCTACTTGTAATTGCAGTGTATAAGAAACAGGTCCTCCTTCTACAGAACAAAGCAAAATAATGAATTGTTTCAAGTGTAAACATGATGTCAGCTTCTACTGGCGGTTACTAACATTTGAT